TTTTTTTTTTATTCTTACAGTGTTTTCACAAATGGAAGACTATTTATCCCACCTGTAAAAATTATCATACCCAAATTCAGTCTGACGGAATGGAATAGCGTGCTGGCCATGATTGGGGAAAAAGTCTTCCCTCTAGGAGGCGTTCAAAAGTAAGGCTCTGTCACCTGGGGGAGACCCGGTCACAGTGTGGGGATGTCCTGCCGGGACCAGCAAGGGCTACAATGCTCTCTCATTAACTCCGATTTTAATTCTTTGGGGGCAGACATTATTTCTTGTCCCTTTACATACTTATTTTTGGCCAGTTTCTTTCATTTTTCATGGAACAAAGCTTATTGAACATCTACTATGTGCTAGGTGTGGTGAATGGGGTGAATGAGGCCATGGGGATGGACAGAGGTGGGATGGACAGTGGTGGGTGGACAGAGTGGGGACAGAGGTGAAGTGACCATGGGGGTAAACAGAAGTGGGATGGACAGAGGTGGCGTGGACAGAGGTGGGGGGAGGGACAGAGGTGGCGTGGACAGACAGAGGTACAGTGGCCATGGGGCCAGGGAGAGGCAGGGTGGCTGTGGCTGTTATGGGGGTAAATCCAGGGACAGTTTGGTGCACTTAGACCAAGGGCCTGGTGTGGATCAGAGGGTCAGAGTGGACCAGGAGAGAGCAGGGGAGCAGCAAGGCTAGCAGGTTGCAGAGGGAAAGGTTAAAGCCTCAGTGTTGGGAACGCCGCTGGGATAAGGAGGCCCCACTGTGGGAAGGAGCTGACAAAGTGTAGGGAAGACACAAGCCTTCGAAACTGAAAAGTAAGGGGTGTGGAGTGGTCCTGAGTGTTGGAAGGACCACTTTATGGACAGCGATGGTCTCCAGGTGGCCTTGGGTCGGAAGAGCCAAAACATTTACTCCTAATTCACTTTCCGTCAATGGTCTCTCTCGGGGGCACATTGCAATGTAAGTGACTGATTTACCATCAAGAGCTGTGACACCAGCGATGAACACTGAGGGTCTGTTGGGAGCAGGACCTAAACTGTTGTTGGGAGCGTCGTTAACCTAGGGAGGGTGGTGAGTCACAGGTGACCCTGCACGTGCTGGGGGAGTTAGCTGTCACCTACAGACCAGATGATTCCAGAATGCAGTTATAAATACCAACGTTTTATTCTGAAAGAAAGAGAGTCGCGTGGAGGAGACACTTGTGCACGCTTCCGGAAGGAGTCAGGGTCAGCAATCCCGTGGGTCACACTTGATGTGGCAGAGGCGAGGCAAGGAAACACGATATTTGGAGGGAAAAGAGCACGTTAGATTAATAAGCCTACTTAGTCTTTCTCCCCTTAGTTCTCTCCGGGTGAGGACGTCCGTGGGGACAAACACACAGGTGCCGGTCTCTTCCCTGGGGGGCTCCCCTCGCTTGAGGGCTGGCCTGCAGCTCCTGGTACATCTGGGACATCTGAACGGGGCTTCCTCAGGACCCAGCTTTCCTGCAGCCCCACCACTGGGGACAGCTCCTTTCCTGCACCGCCCCTCCCCCCAGCCGGCCGGGTTCCCGCCGTGGTCCCAGAGTCACATCTGGACTCTATCTCCTCTGGTGTCAGTTCTGAACTGATTGCTCTATCTCTCCCCTCCCTGACAAGAACATAAGCCTGTTTTCCTGCTCCTCAGTCTCCCCCTCAACAACCCCGGCCCCGGTGCTGAATTCTGGGTTATCGTGAACATGTTCTCTCTGATCGAACTTCATTTAATGGCAACAGGGATCGTGCCAAGGCGCGTGGTCGCCCTGCTTCACAGATCCCTCCCAGCGTCTCTGCAATCGCTCTTTCCTTTTTATTTAACCCCTTCCTGTAGAAACGTTCTTACTGTGAGTCCCTGTGGCCCATCTTCCAAGGCCTTGTCAAGGTGACGGTACTTTTATCAGGCCTCCCGTTTAACTGAGGGTTTGGCTCGCTTCGAACTTGTTTCTTCTCAGATTTTGAGAAGATGTCACTTCGTTGTCTTGGGCCTTCGCGACTGCTGTTGAAAAATCCGGTGGTGCGTGTGTGGTGTGTCAGTGGGCTCTTGCATGGGGGGAGCCCTTCGGATGCCGGCCTGCGTCCTTAGAAGTCCCCCTGACGTGCCTATGTGGGAGTTTTTCTGTGACCTCTCTGTCTTTGATGTCTATTGACTTTCAGTTTGAGGTCCTCCCTCTCTCTCTACTTCTGTGAAATTCATCTTCATTATTTCTGTACATTTTTCTTCCTTTCTGCTTTAAGTTATCTTTCGAGATTCTTACTTTCTGGATGTTGGCATTCCTACTCATCCATACGTCTCAGCTTTTCTCTCAGACACGTTCTATCTCTCCCCCTGCTTCCCTCTGGGAGACACCCTCGATTCGGAGTCCCCACAGCGTCTTGGGCCTCGTCCGCTCCCCACCTGCTCCGCGTCTCCCCGTCCTCTGGGATGTGCTCTTTGTATCTGCTTTTCTAGTTGTTTCTTTGCCACACTTCCTTGTTGTTTCGTATTGGTAGCATCTGCCCTTATTTCGTCTATAATGTTTTTCGTGTTTATGTCAAATTCCTGGTCCATCTGATCCAACGCTTCCGCTCCTGGTGGAATCCACCAGACACTGTGTGCGGGTCTGCGGGCAGGGGCCTGGGCACTGCCACCGCTCAGTCTGCCCGCCTCCCTGTGCCCCCTGTCCACTCAGTGCTTCCCTGACTTACTCCTGGGGACGTCACCAGCTGTGCGGTCCTCCAGTGAGCCCAGGCACTGGCTGTCCCAGGGCAAAATGGCAGGAGAAGAACAGAATTCCAGGAATTGCTTTTCATGTGGAAACCTTGTGCTCCTGGTCGAGGCCACCTGCTGCCCACACAGCTCCCCATGGCTGCTCATGGAAGGTCCTGTTCCCCCGGGGCTGGTCTAGGGCTGCAGCTCCCCTGGCCCCCGGAGCAGCATGGGCATTGGCCGGCACTGTTAGGAATGCGTGTTCCGGCCTCATCCTAGACTCAGGAGTCAGAGGCTCTGGGCGTGGGGCCCGGCTGTCTACACGGTGGCAAGCCGTCCAGGTGGTTCTGATGCTAAGGTCTGGGGGAGATGGGTGGAGGGCAAGGGCGGTTCTGTGGTTTCCACCCGCTCGGCCTGCCCTTCTCCCCTTCCCACTCTGGTGCTCGCGGCTCTGGTTCACGATCGCCTCGCACACCTGCTGTGGCAACCTGAGCCTCCTCTTACGGGACAGGCTCCTTTCCTCCGTCCGCATCCCCAACGGTCAGCTGACCATTGCTCACACTCAGCTCCTGTCCGCTCGTCCACAGCGACGTCCACTCACTGCGGCAAAGTCCATGATAAATTCCTCGCCCCAGAGTTCCAGGCTCCAGACTTTGATGCGCAAATTCTGTGTGTGCGTTTCACACTTCAGTGACCATCAATCCCCGTGTTCTGGCTTTTGGCCCCGGCCCCTCCTGCGACCCCAAATGCTTTATGCATCTGCACGTGAAGAAATCTTACCACATCCTCACCCCACTGGTGCCCCCACTTTTCTGAGGCCTACAGTTGATTCCAGGTGGGTCCTCCTCTTGGAAGGCCGGATCTTTGCCCTTCTCTGGTCACATTTCTGTTCCTAGGTTTGTGTACAAGCCTTGGTTTTGGGGAAGCAGTGACTTCCTTACCCATATTTTTATCCCAGACAGTGCCTCCCTCATTGTCTAGTGTGTGATAGATGCTCAGCATTGAGTGAATTGAATAATTTCTTTTTTAAAAGATGTTTATTTATTTACTTTGAGAGAGGGAGGAAGAGAGAGATAGAGAGAGCGAGCGCACACACAAGCTGGGGAGGGGCAGAGAGAGAGAGAGGGAGAGAATCCCCAGCAGGTTCTGCACGGTCAGCACAGAGCGTAATGTGGGCTTAATCCCACGAACTGTGAGATCATGACCTGAGCTGAAATCAGGAGTCGGACGCTTAACCGACTGAGCCACCCAGGCGCCCCTTAAATAATTTCTTAAGTGACTGAATTAGTGAATGAATACTTGCCAAACAAAGACTATAGGATAAAAAGTAGACAAATATTAGTCTTTTGGTGCTCATAAAAAGGCGCATTATTGGCTAATAAATACTGGTTTGTTTTCCAAGAATTGTTACAACAAAATAAGCCGATTTGTATTAATTTTTGCTGTTATTAGTTAAAATTAATTGAACACCAACCAAGAGCTTAAAATGTTCTCAAGGGCCCCTGAGCACTTGTACGTAATTAAAAATACACTTTAATTAAACAGGCTAAAAATGGAAGGCAAGCCTGACCCTGGAAGGGCAGCTCCCACAGGCTTTAATTAGCTTGTCTGGACTTCACTTGCTTAGAGTTCACCAGCTCGCCCGCTGGTAGCCCACGTCCCGGTCGTACTGTCTGCAGACGCCCCCGGGCCCGAGATCGGTGCTCGAAAGTCTCTGGCCCACTTCTTCTTCCTTTATTCACAGATTATTTACCATGAACGGGCATCTTCTGGACAACTCCAAGGATCTGCAAGATAACCACTTTTACGTGGCGGCAGGACCGGAGACCTTCAAATATTTCCCTTACTGGAAATCCTCTAAGGTGCCCAGGGAGGTCCAACGGTGAGCACGTTTCACCCCTTTACTGCCTGGGTGGGTAAAATCTGCCTTTTCCCCAGGATTGTCCCCGTGCAAGGCCTGTTCAGCTATTGGCTGTTTTCCTGTAGTGAAACTTGACATTCTTGTTTTATAAGTGGCACGGTTTTGGATTTTCGAAATTAGGCGTGGGGGGACTCCTGTGGTTTGATATATTCACAGGGACAGTAAGCCCTCGCGTTGAATGCACTGTCTTTTCTCTGGGGACACTGGGGGTCTCAGAGAGAGGAGTCTCAGTGCGCAAACCAGTCGTAGCCCTGGCCCCGAGGCACAGGCGTGAGAGCCCAGCGCTCCGTCCGGCGCCCTGTTCGTTTGGTCAGTTTCTCCTGGTCTGAAATCGAGAGTCTGACATCTTTCACTGGTCTGTGAAATCACAGTGGTGACTTTTATGGTGGGTCCCGCCCCGGGCTAACAGGTGCACCAGGGCGTGTGCTTCTGGACGTGCGGGAACGTCTGCAGGGAAGATGAAGGTGTTGGCGGGAGCTCCCGTCCCGTCACCGGAGAGGAGAGGGCTGGCTGTCCCTTCTCCGTGCATTTTGCTCTCTCCGCCATCGCTGTCTGGAACGGGCCAGCCAAGCTCCAGGAATTAGTGGACAACGTTGTCCTGTAGGCTCGTGCCTGAGGGACGCCCAGCGGCTTCACCCTGGACCTGCTTGCCCAGAGGCCCGCACTGATGCTCACGGGGACGGGCGTGGAGTCCCTGTCTGCCTGCAGTTCTCACGGTTCGTGGACCTTGAAGTCACCTGATAAGGCGTGTGACTTGCGTCCTCAGGGCGCCGTGACCTTTGACGCTTCCTTAGAGAGACTTCAGTGCTCCACCCACCTTGCTTCTCGGTTGTGTATGTGCTCGAGCCTCAGTATTCCCTGCTCCAAATGCCGTGGGACCGCCAACAGTCCAGAACACTTCCTGACTTTTCTGACGTTGTGTTGACAGGGACGGGAACCTGGTTGTTAGTCTGGGGGTCTCAGCGGCTACAGCTCCTGGTGAGCTCGTGTGTGTTCGTACGGGGCGGGGGGGGGGTCCAGGTTCAATGGTGGGTCAGGAAGGACGTGACCTGCAAGACTGGAGTTCAGAGGTATGTACTGATCCAGATCCTCAATTTTTTGTTCCAAATTAAAGCCCCGGCATTAGGGCTAAGGCTGAGTTCGTTGCCTTTGGGCCCTGGAAGAAGAGAGGGCGGGGCGTGGGATGACAGACAGGCCGCCTCACCGATCTGCCCTTGAGCTGCAGGGGGACAGGCCAGCCACGGCCTTTGTCGCCTGTCCTGGAAGGCAGGGCTCTGGTGCCCGGGGGTCAGGTGCCCCCCTCCAGGGCACATGGAGCCCTCTGCCCGGGGGTCCGTCAGAGGCAGTGTTTAACTCGGGCGCCCCCGCCCGTTTCTGCACCTGGAAAGTTCCCGATTCCCGGGTCTGGCTGGGAGGAGCGGTTTCCAGCTGGTGGTGGGAATTTGCAGCCTCGTCCCGGGGTGTGTTTGAGCCACACGCAGCCGCAGCACAACTGTTTGAGGACCTGCCAGGGCCCTTCCCTGGGGCTGCTTCCTCGGCACGGTTCCTACGGTCATTGTCTCGAGCAAGGAGAAGGAGCTGTCAGAGCTCGTCTCGTGCTGGGACAGGCAGATGGGTTCACCCCCACCCGCCCCATACGTTCCCCGCCCGGAGCCTGGGCTCCCGAGACACCGCCAGGGACGGTGTCTGTGGCGACCTTGTGCCCGTGTGCGCTCCTGTGCCGTTAGGGTTTCGACTTGGAGGCAGAGAGTGGCCTCTTTCGTCCTGTCCACAGACGATGACCCCGCGGCAGGTGGGCAGGTTAGGGTCCTGCCCGCGTGCCTGGCAGCTCAGCCATGTCCCGAGTTTATTGACCTGCTAATTCTTTGGTGACCGTCCTAATTGCGTGGTGGGTCGAAACACCTTAGGGGCTGTTGAAATGAGTCGAATGGTTCTCTCTGTGTCCCCTGCTCCCCACCCGAGCTGACCCCTGAACTGCGTCGGTCGGTTGCTTAAATATCTTTCTCCTCGCCAAAGAGGTTGGGGCTCGGGAGGAAGAGCGTCCGCAGAGCTGCTAGGAGACTGAAGTCCATTCCCGTACACGCTGTGGGCCAGGGAGGTGCCCGTCGGCCGGGAAGCCGGTGCCAGGAGTGTCCCTCCCGTGCGTGCCAGCGGTGGAGGTCAGCGCCCCTGCACGGGGATCCGGAGCGGGGCGTGTGCCTCTGCGCCACGGTGGCGGTTAGACAAGGGGTCTGTCACGCGGTGGAAGGAGGCTGGGCTGGATTCTGGACGGGCTTGGGGTCTCTGTTCTTCTCCTGATCAGCAGCGCGGCTTTGACCAAACCCTCACGTCTCTGAGCCGTGTGTCCTCTCCAGCCCAGGGAGGACGTGATACATGTGCCACAGGTCACTGCGAGAAATCGTGTTTGTGGGAGTGACTGCCGTTTGTCAAAAACCTCAAACGTGTGGGTGCCCAGGCGGCTCAGTGTGTTAAGCGACCAGCTGTTGGTTTTGGCTCGGGTCATGATCTCACGGTCCGTGGGTTCGAGCCCTGCGTCGGGGAGCCCGCTTGGGAGCCTCTCTCCCTCTCTCGCTGCCCCTCCAACACTTGCGTGCACGCTCTCTCTCAAAAAATAAAAAGACTTAAATTTAAAAACCTCAAAATGTTAGGTTTCCCCCCGCGACTGTATGAAAGCTTTTGGACAGAGGGGCCCATGAGCATGCTCCACATGGTGAGTGGAGATTTTCCAAGGTCTCTGGGAAGGAAACTGAGCAAACCTCGCTGGGGCCGTTTCTGCTCCTGAGACTGGGGAACAGCTGTGGACGTGAGCCCGGGGCCGTCAGGACACTGGACAGGCCTTCCCCGTGGCCTCATCTTCCCGAAGGCCACGGCTGTAATCTACGTTCTCGGAAAGAGGCTTTTGGCTGATCTTTACCAATTTCTAGCTGACTATCGTTTGTCTTTCAGAAAGTACGCGGACATCGAGAAATACTCAAGAGAAAAGAAAAAAGTAAGTACTTTTCACACAGTGAAGTGGAAGCTGTGGATGGCCGTGGTGTCCTTGACCTTGATAAGGACGCCTCCCTGGAGAGGCCCCGCGGTGGGGACCCAGACTTCTGGGCGCAGTGTTGGGTGCTGGGCTTGCCCCCTGTGCGTGTGGGGAATGAGGCGTTGGAGCTGTGGGCGTAGAACCGGGAGGTACACGGAGATGTCTGTGACATACACACAGTGAATGTGAGGAGGAAGATGTGTGGTGTGGGGACAGACAGGAGGGAGGGCGTCAAGCCTGGTGTGGCTGCCCTGAGCCTGAGGACAGCTGGGAGGGGGCGTCTCAGGGCTGAGGCACAGCTCACTGTGTGTGTGTGCGTGCGTGTGTGTGTTGCACATAAAGTACGAGAAGCATGGCCAGCAGGTGTCAGGATAAGAGCCTGGATGGGCAGGTAGAAGCCAGGTCTTGGGGGCCATATGGGTCTTTGTCACCTGTGTATACGATGACCACATATCCCCACCGTCTTATAAAAACTGCATTTCAGTGGCTCTGCTGACCTTAGGATTTGCTCAGTAAAGCTGTCGAGCGTCTACTGTTTGCCTGTTCCTGGCTGCCCAGCCCCTGTGCTCAGGGACCCTCCGTACTGAGACTTCCCAGCCTTGAGACCCGTCTCCCCACGTATCGACCTCTGTTTTCCGGTATCTGGTGGCCGGCCCTTGGAGTGGCTCTTCTCCTGGTGCAGCTTGGATTTCATAACCACTGTCTTACCCACGCTCTTGGAAATGCTTGGGCTTCCCGACCCACGAGCCCCCGTGGCATCTGCCTGGCGAGAGTCCAGCCGTGGACGGGCCCAGAACCTTGCCCGTCCACACTTGCGCCGAAGGAGCTCGGTGTTGCTGGCGATGAGAACACGACTGACCCGACTCTTCTCGCTGAGATCACTTCTTTCCCACCTGCCTTCACTGAGAAGCCTCACTGCTCACAAACGCTTTTCGAAAGGGGTTTGGTAAATTTTGTTAGGGTTTTTTGCCTGTCTGCTCATAGAGGAGGTGAGCCTGGAATACTTCTTTTTCGTGTTGTTCTTGCCTGGCTTTTGGCATCAAGGTTTTCCTGAATCGACTGTTCTTGTTTCGGTAGCTTCCCGAGCTGAACGATCGTCTCATTTATTTTCGATTTTCTTTCTCTACGGGCTGAGTTTAGCATTAAGTGTTTGTTGAATGAACGAAAGAATGAGAATCATTGAGAACATGAAAACGATAGATGTGATTCTGCCCTAAGGGTGCGTTTCATCTGGTTAGGATACATGACACATGGCCTTGTCTCATCACAGAAGGGGCGTGTAAATGAGTCACATGCACAGGGTGATGGCTCGTGGGACAGGGAGTAGGCGACACGTGAAGATCGGCAAACCCAGTGCAGGTCCTCGAGGGGTCAGAGAAGGGGGCAGATGTTTCGGGGGACAAAGAACCCACGTGGGTGTGCACACCATTCCAGCCTCACGGAGTTTCCCTCAGGTTGCCTTAACCAGCTCGCGGGTGGTGTGGGCACTGGGTTTGAAGCTGATACTTGGCGTGAATGCTACAACCTCAGAATCCCATACTTCCGTGGTTTTGGAAGCTTCTGAGCAGAGGCTGAAGCAGTAGTTTGGGGGGGGGTCGCCCTTACTTGTTTTAGTTATGCCCTCATCTCATTATGTTGTCGGGTCCTTAAGGTAGGGATAGAATTTTCTCTTCCTTTTATTAAATATTTGTTCTATTTATGGGGCGCCTGGGTGGCTCAGTCGGTGAAGCGTCCGACTTCAGCTCAGGTCATGATCTCGCGGTTCGTGAGTTCGAGTCCCGCGTCGGGCTCTGTGCTGACAGCTCGGAGCCTGGAGCCTGCTTCGGATTCTGTGTCTCCCTCTCTCTGACCCTCCCCCGCTCACGCTCTTTCTCTGTCTCTCTCTCAAAAATAAATAAACGTTAAAAAAAAAAAAAACAAAGAAAGAAATGGCTCAGGAGAGCCCGACTCTGGACGTAAAATCTCAAGAGGGTTCGAGCAATTTATGTCTGTTACACTGTCCTCTTGCTTTATGCACAGGTACGGGATGTGATAAACACCTCTGTCTGAAAGTTCTCCAAGGGCTTTTCCAGGAAGCAGAAAACAGAACCCCCGGGTTACAGGGGAACAGTGTGACATAGTTTAGCTGGTAGCTTGCTTCGTCTCTTAGCAACACGTAAGGTAACCACGTGCCTCATGGCATTCGGTCCCATGAAACGAGAAGAAAGGCAGGGGCACTGGCATGTCTGGGTGGTTGTGGATGAGAGAGCGGGAGAGGTCAGGGTGGCCCAGGGCTCAGTTAGGTTGAGCTGTGACAGTTTCAGTCCTCTGAAAATAACGAATGAATCTACTCTTTGTTTTTTTTTAATGTTTATTTATTTACTTTGAGAGAAAGAGAGAGAGGGAGAGAGAGGGAGGGAGGGAGAGAGAGAATCCCAAGCAGACTCTGTCTGCACTGTCAGCACAGGCCCCGACGAGGGTCTTGAACCCACGAACCGTGAGGTCATGACCTGAGCCAAAACCGAGTCGGACATGTAACCGACTGAGTCACTCAGGCACCACTGAACAGACATGTTCTAATTTTGTTCTGGCAGATTCACTTTTACAGCAGCTGCATTTACTGTGATTTTGTATCCATTACTTTCCAAAGAAGCGAGGCTAAGTTAATAAATGTTTAAAGCTGCATTCCTGTATTAAAATGAGTATTTGAATGTACAAGCCTCCGTAAGATATCAGTGACTAATTAGTAAGCATTGTATTTATATCACATCCACAACCAGACCACTAATATTACCTACTTCTCTTTTGGGCACAGAACACAAAAAACGTTGTCTGTGAACAGAAATGGAGAGAAAAACATTGACAAGTTAAAGCCGTGTGTGTGTGTGTGTGTGTGTGAAACAGTCATAGAGACGCATACAACGGGACACACACACTTTAGTGACCGTCTAAACTGTAAAGTGCAGTGCGGAGTAAGGGCTTTGGAAATGCCATTTGCAGGCTAATAACATCAAGACTGTAGCAGTATCACACAGCATCCACGGCTGCGTCTGTGCGTGCCTCTAGTGGCCGGAAGGTGCGACAGTCAGGTCCAAATGTTAGCAAATCTTTCACTTTAATAATGCTTGCAGTCGGGGCTGGCTCACCGATGCGAAACCTCACCCGCCTGGAAGCGGGACACTCCCTCAGCATTCAGCGCTGGCTTTGCCCCCCAGAGTGGCTTGACTCTGAACCTGACTCAATCAGGTGGTCCCTGTTCCCCAACCAGACGAGCTAATTCAGCCACGGTACCTTGGGAGGCTCTTCCCTGTGCCTGAGCAAGACTGTGACAGCAGCAGGAAAGCATAGAGCGAATGAGATGGGCTCCGCAGAAAAGTGACAGTTTCCAGAGCACCGCAGAGAAGCAAGCACAGGATGCCTCCGGCGTGTTTTCTGGAAATGTCTGTAGTCGGAAAAAGAAACATGAAATTGAAAAAGCAGCACCTGTCGCCTCTGTAAGGTGCCCGCCCTGATTTCCACTCCGGACTCGGGGCAGGGAGGAGTGGGGAGCAGAGGGTGACGTCTGAGAGTCTCCCCGCGGGCGCGGGAGCAGCGGGTTCCCTGTTTTCCTGCTCAACCCGTCCATTCCCAGAACTGCTGTAAATGCGCGCTGCTCTGACAGGCGACACGCAGAGTGTCCACCGCGGCCGGAGGCGCGTGTCAAGCTGACGGCAGCCCCGCCGGGTCCTGGGGGAGCTCTGACTCGAGGGGCGCCGGAAGCTGCAGGCGCGTGGCGGTGGGGCCGTGTAGGCCGCCGGGTGGGGCGCCGACCAGGGGTCCTCTGCCTGGAACGTGGCCACGTCGGAGCAGGACCCGTAGGCGAGGCTGCAGGCCGCACCGGAGGGGGTGGCGGCTCTTGGGGAGCGTGGCAGGTTGGGGGCGCATGGGGGGCCCCCCCGTGGGCACGGGAAGGCAGGCTGGGGCGGCGGTGCAGGCCCGTGTGTGTGTGTGTGTGTGTGTGTGTGTGTGTGCGCGTGTGTGTAATGTGAGCCCGGTCGGGCCCTGCCCTGTCTTTGCTCCCTTCCTGTGCCCCTGGTTTTCCCGCATCCTCTACTCGGTTCATGAAACCAGCGGAGACGCAGAGCAGCTGTCGGGATCCCTTCGCCGAGCACGGACTGTGTTTGCCGGGCACCGGGGACGCAGAGGGCTCGGCCGTGCTCTGGCGACCATGTGCAGCGTTACGGGGGACACGGCACAGGGCCCTCGAGGTCGGCTTGCGCTGGGATTTGAAGCGAGGGGGGAGGGGAGCTGGAAGGGCAAGGGGGCAGGGAGGGGTGGGTGTGCAGGGCCAGGAGGGCGGGTGGGCTTGGGCTTGAGGGTCCCAGCTCCGAGCTGAGGCACGTGAACAGCACCCTGAGGTTGCAACAACTGCCGCCCGTTTGAAAGGCAGAAGGAGATCAGATCACGCTCGCACCGCGCTCACTCGCCGGGCGTTTACCGCGTGCCCGCTATGTGCCGGCTCGGGAATTCATGGTCAGACAAGCAAACGTCCCCGGTCCTGTGCCCTCCAGCCTTCGGGTGGTGACCGGTGAACGAAAAACACCCTAAACAAGCCACCCAGAGACAAGGAGGATTGCGTCCAGCGCCGGGCGAGGGGGAGGAAGGAGACTGGGCGTGCGGGTGAGTGCGGCAGGGTGTCCTCGCGGACAGGGGACAAGCCAGGGTTTGGGCTAAGACTTGGCGAGAAGCCAAACCAGGGCGGCTCCAGGTTTCACTGGACGTTGTGGAGATAAGGTGCTCTTAAAAACTTGAGTTTCCTTCAGGTACTTAGGTGTGAGAGTAAACAGTAAAATCGACTTACTGACATCGTGCCCTCTCTTCACCTGCCGTGGTGCTGGCCTGAAGTTCCGTGTGTCTCAGGTGACCTTCCAGGGCGCCGTGGACCAGCTCATTTTCATCTCGTGGCCGGAGCCTGGGGTGACGGGGCCGGTGGCCGGGCCGCGGCTCTTCTTGGCCTCCACCGTGCGTTTTGCTCTGTGCCGAGTGCTGCTTTGTGTCCCCGTGAGGAGGCCGGGACGATTCTGTGTCCTGTCCCTTGAGTCTGACTTCAGGGGTAACACACTAAGTACCTGGTGTCTTTGTCTGAGAGGCTGACGATATGGCAAATGATCACAAGAAGGAGATGTCGGTGATGCTCGGAGAGCGAAGCAGGTTTGCAGAATCGCACCCCCAGCTGCTTCCAGCAGACCCGCACCTGGGACCGTGCTCTGTCTCCAAGACCGGTTCTACCAAGACCCCGCTTCCTATACTTAGGAGCAGGACTTCGAGTTTTAGGAAAGCCCCTTGGAACAGGTAGAAAGAGTTTGCTTGGGTCTTGTATTCGGTCGTGGGGTGATTTTCACCCTTGAATTTCTGTGGGAAGAAAACACAGGCGGTTTGCACCGTGAATGTACCAATGGTGCAAGGTAGGTGTTTTAGTTTGACGTTTTCTCAGGTGCCTTAGGGAGCTCGGGAGAAACCTCTGCACAGTCCTGCCTGCATTCACTCCGAATACCTTGGCAAAGGTAGGGCTAAGGAAAACCTCGGGATGGTTTGTGTTGTGAAGATGGTTCGTGGGACGGAGCGGGGATGGTGTGTGGGGTTAGTTCATCGTACGCTGCGATCCCCCCACGCTTGGTTACTACTGTCTGTAGGTTTTTAAAGACCCTTTATCTCAACCCAAAATGAACCTGCCACATGTTTATTTATTTATTTTTATCCGAGATGCTCTGCCTTGCCCAGAAGCTCCAGCGGGAATAGTTTCGTAGTTGTTGAAACAGTGATTTTTATTAGGCTGTTAGGCGTGTCTAAAACCACATGGACCGGCTCAGACTCTCCTGCTCCCTTCCAGAGCTTTCCCTCATTTTGTCAGGTACGTGGGCACCTTCGGTTAGTAGGACAGCGCCTCCCATTCCTGGTGAGGGAGACGAAGAGAAGTGTCCGAGGCAGAGCTGTCCAGATGGTTCCAGAAGGGACGCCTCTTCCAGGTTGCTGAGCGAGGCAGTCAAGGAGCCGCGTGCTTGCTCTGACGGTTCTCACGGTGACTGATAGGACTTGGCACGCTGCTGTTCCTACCACACTTTTTATTCTTGATTTGTACCTTAGGAGGATTCCAAAGGAAAAGAAACGCATAAGCATGACAGCATTCCCCGTAAGGAACGGGATTCTGTTTTTTACGCCAGAGCGGGGAAGAAGAAGACGCTGGTGGAACCCTCATTCCAAAGAGGTTCAGGTAACGTGAATTTCCTTTGGCTGCCGGCATTAAAAAATGCTACCCTTTTAAGACGGTGTTTTGTTTCGGGGCCAGTTTCACCGCAAAGATATGACTTGTGACTATCTGGTTTTAACACTCGATGGGTGACTATCTGGTTTATTAATGAGACATTCAGCTCGAGGGGCCGTGGTGGTGAGAGGAGAAAAACAAAATCCCAGTGCCGAAGGCAGTGGGGCTCTCGGACCAGGAAGCCCTGCCAGATCAGTACGGTAATTCTGGGCCTCTGTGTACATCAGGGCGGGATGTGCTCTCCCTGAGGACCAGGCAGGCAGTAAACAACCCACAGACAAGTTAGCCTTTGGAGGGAGACGTGAAACTAAAATCCGTCTGAATGGTTTAGGCTTATCTTTTGAGTCGGAGGGACATTTAAAAGATTAAACTTTGGAGCTGATTTTAAAATGAAATAATTCCAAAAATACTTGCTCAGCTCCTGCTTCTACTCTGCGGAGACCTGGCTGGGAGGGGCCTGACTCCTGGTTTGGAGGGGCCAGACTGGCTGGGAGGGGCCTGAGCCTTGGTTGGGAGGGGCCTGGCTGGCTGGGAGGGGCTTGACTCCTGGCTGGGAGGGGCCTGAGCCTTGGCTGGAAGGGGCCTGACTGGCTGGGAGGGGCTTGACTCCTGGCTGGGAGGGGCCTGACTGGCTGGCTGGGGGGGGCCTGAGCCTTGGCTGGGAGGGGCCTGACTGGCTGGGAGGGGCCTGAGCCCTGGCTGGGAGGGGCCTGACTGGCTGGGAGGGGCTTGAGCCTTGGCTGGGAGGGGCCTGACTGGCTGGGCGGGACTTGACTGGCTGGAGGGGCCTGAGTCCCGGCTGGGAGGGGCTGAGCCCTGGCTGGGAGCCAGCCCCATGTTCCATCAGCATGTGTCACAGGTGTTTTGACGGTGGCTGGTTACGCAGAGGATAGGAGCCCGGAATGGAGGGCTCCCCTTTGCTTCTCGGCAGCATTTGACGACTTTTGGAAGTCATTTTTCTTAGAGCCCCTCCCTCCCCTGGTGCTCCCTTCGTTTCCTCCATTCTCTGCTCTGATTGTATCTTGGCTTCCCGGGAACCCTCTGCTTGTTTCCAGGCTGCAGACTTGAAGGTCTTCCTGCCGCCTCTCCTGCTCCCCGCCCTCCCCCTTCGGACCTTCCCATCCCAGATGAAGGTGTCGTCCTGCTGTGTGCCAGGCTCGGGTCTGCACGTGGGGGCGCTCAGACGTCCCTCTCTAGCCAGTGTTCCTGGCCGGTGGGCACGGCCCACGCCGTGTTCTGATACAACCCGACCATGGCCAGGTTGGGCCTAACACCAGAGCCTACTGAGCCTACAGTACTGTAGGTTATACTAGAGTACTGTAGATTATACCGCAGAGCACTGGAGGTTATACTCCGGGATACTATAACATATCAAGAGTAATAGAGAATTTAATCAGCACACGTAAAATGTCTTTCTTGGCAAAGCCTGTCCCACATGGCTTGGGCTGCCCGGCGTGTATCAGACCTTCCCTCTGGGAAGCCGTGTGCTGTGCTGGGGCCCAGGTTCCGGCCGTGGCCCTCCCAAGCCTGGGGCCCTGGGCAAATTCCTGATCTGCCAACGGGCATGGTAGTTTTGTGGGGGGCTTGCATGAGTGTTAGTTGTCCAGCGGACAGAAGAGGGCCTGGAACACGTGAGGTCCCCGTGGATGCCACCCTCTGCCTTCTCCTTCTCCTCATCCCTTCTCTGAGAGCAGGGCCCCCCACAGCCCAGGACTGGGGGACGGTCCTCCTGGGGCTGAGGGCCAGGAAGGGGAGGGGGGAAGGACAGGAAGAAGTGCAATGAGCTGTGGCCCATCCCGTGTTGGGTCACTGAGCCCATCACGGCCACGGTTACACCCTCTGGGTGTTGAAGGAAGCGGCTGCCTCCTTTTCTTTTTGCTGTCACTTTTTGCTGGGGTGAGGCTAAAGTTTTCGAGAACCTTGGGACTTTGTAAGCAGTAATCCACCCCATCGTAATGCCGACGGGCTGATTCTTGTCTGTCGGCCTAGCTGACTACCTCGCAGGGCACAATTTTAACACCTCGTTTGTTGGAACTCGTTTTGTCCAAACCCAGACTCTTTTTGCTCATTACTTCCAAATAAGTTCTTGACGTGATTTTGAAGTAACAAAGGTACGTGTGCTCAGAATATGATTCTGCTGCCCGGGGGTTGCTTTGTGTTTATTTCTCACTGAGCTAACTGGACACGCGCTGGTCGAGCGATCACCGTGTCTCATCCGCGGGACTGAGTCCCGTGGTGGGTAGGACACAGCGACGACCGTGACTTCAGGGTCTAGGAGCTTCGTGGAGACAGGGGTGTGGACCCGGGGCCCCCGGGCGGGCCGCCCCACGTGACCACGGCACGGCAGGCTCAGAGGACGCCAAGCTGTGACGTCGGTTTGGGACAGAAGCTGTGCGGTGGCCATTGGCCCGAGAACCCCACGTATGTTGTTTTTCTCCAGAAGGTGACGTGTTTAGAGCCCAGACTCCAAGCGCGGATACCCGGGAGGCGCCGGAAGTCAAAGAAGACAGCAGTTTGCAGGTGGAGGTGCCGGTGGACCAGGTGGGTAGCTGCTTCACGAGACCACGTCCCCCGCCTTCGATTCAGCTCCGTCAGCCCCTGCCGACCGCGGTCTCCTCCTCCTCCCCTCCCCCCGGCTCGCCCGGCCTCTGGAATGTTCTGTGCCCTCTCCAGTCAGCTACTGTGTATCCTACATCACGTGTTTTCCTGCCCGCCCCTCTCCCTGGAGGGTTCTTTTGCTATTGGGACCCTTGCGAGCGCTTGTCACAGTTTGTGACCGCAGAGTTAGCTTTGTTGTTACTGGATGAGGCAGGGGACGGCCTGCTGTGCTCACGGGCACAGTTTCTGATGGGGAGGGGGCCCTTGATAACCACCGGGGGATGACCGGGTGATGGCACGAGAGGTGTACGGGGTCATGTGATCGGGAATCACAGCTCATCGACTTTCTAGCTTTCTGACCTCGGACCCCCGACTCCTTATCCACGTGGCGGCGGGGTGGGGGGGACGTGTGAGTGCCTGGTATAGGGCCTGATGCACGCTGGGCCCCTCTCTCTGCTTCCTTCCTTGGGGCTCACGGAGGCGTGACACGGAGTGTGAGGAAGGCCCAGGGGAGGTGGAGGGAAGCGGGGAAGGTGTGAGGAGTGAGCCTCAGCCTGCACAGGAGCAAACGCACGGCGGCCCGGTCCCCCCTGCTTCCCGCCCAGCTCGGCCCCACGCCCCCTGGGAGTGCCCGTCACGTCTGCACGGGTCTCTGGCCCCAAGCCCTGCTCCTGCCCGGGGCGGACGGGCTGGGTGGGCTCTAAAACGCACAGCTTTGCCCGCAGTATCTGCCCGAGAGCACGTAAGCACATTTCTCATCCTCGGTCTTTGAGAAAACAGCGTATCTTCTGCAGAAGGTCCATGTCTGCATCCAAGTGTCATCTTCGTCCTTCTGGAACGGACGCGGCCCCAGCCCTGTGCTTACGGTCACAGAGGACCCGGCTGGGGCGACAGTGACCTCCTGGCTCCTCTTTTGAAAATCAGTCACTCTTAATTTTTTCCCTTTATTATTAACCTCTGATATTTTTCTTTCCGGGGACACGTTCACAAACTTTACAGGCCGCGTCGAGTCTCTAGCACTTCCTGCGGCATTTTGAGCACGTTCCCGACGTGTCCCGTTGTAGTTTCTAAATCGCGAGTAATGTTCTTTATTCCTTTCTTCGACGTGACAGTGACCAAAAGATTTCGTTTTCTCATAAAATCCCGACTAGCAGGTTAAGTATTTCTACTGCACCTTTAAGGAATTTCTGTAGTAAATAAATTAA